TGTGCACTGATAATACGACGCAAATACATTTTACACTTCGACCAGTGAGTCATCGACGGGGCGGCGTATATAATTCTGAACTATATATAGAAAATGTATGTATCTCGTGAGTAATATGTATATACGTAGGAAAAAATTTTATTCAACAAGGTGTTCTTCCGTCAATTACTCTGAATTATCTACGGAAATTTACCGTTCCCCTCGTAAAGCTTACATGATGTGTTTTTCCATTTATTTCGGCCATATAGTCTTCTTTGCAGTCGAGAAGACATTACGCTCGACAATCGTTCTGCCAGGCGTTGCCGGAAACGTCGCGCTAGAATCGCGATAGAGACTATCGTTCTCCATTGGGCGCGATCTTTATTAGTAGCGTTTGAAATGACCTAGCACGGTAGAGAGAGAGAGAGAGAGAGGTATTATCCAACCTAGAATAACGAACGAGCGAGACTGGCGTTCTTGCAACATGGGAGAACACGGCGCTGACCTAGAGACTTCTTCGGTTTATGGAGACCCATGCTAATGCCGCCACATAAAGCAGAACCCCGTCGTCGTGCGTCGACCAGAAACAGGGGGGAACCCAAGCCTGGGAGCGAGTCTGCCCGAGTAAAATTCCTCGATGAGCATTTCAAGGGGGATGAGGAAGGGACACGGGAAAGGAAGGGAGGATAGGAAACCGGCGGGAGCGATGTTGGAGGGGAAGGGATGCGATTCACGGCTCGCTTGCCAGGCAAGCAAGCCATCCAGCCATCGTGGCACTCGGCGGCTTTCCTCTCCGCCATTACCCTCCTCCTGCTTCTTCACCCCTCTTGTACCCTTCCCCACTGCCTCGCGCACACACACACGCACACCCTCTGCCCCCCTCCCCCTCCCCCTAAACTCCCTCCCGTCACCCGCTTTCACTCATACGAACGACGTAGAAAAGGGGCGCTCGTTGTGTGCGAAACTTGTACCAAAGCGCGCCGACGAACGTGTCTCTGTGTATGCGTGCCTTTTTTTTCATTAGGAAACGTGGGGATGGGCGCGAGGGACCGAGGGAGGAAAGAGAGGCAACGGCTCTCGTCGAGCTGAGGAGCAGAACGCGGTCGCGGTTCCAGCTAGCGAGAGAATTTTCTTTCGATCCGATGAGAAAATGCGCCACATCCCCCAAGTGCGTTTCGCCCAAGATGTCCCGGACGGTGGCGATAAACGGTTTGACGAATCGCGCGGTTCGCGTTGCGACCGAGATCTTTGGCTACGCAGTTTCGCAATTGGTCGAGGGAATGGAGAGATTTTTGCAAGCGATATGAAAATGTTAATTATTATATAAACCAGAAACTTCTGCTTAGTTTTCCTATATCAAGAACTCGACACTAATCGATGAGACGAAGTCATGTCGTATCTCTCTCGTCGTTGAGGGAGGTCATAGGCCGATATTCATAGTCCGTTCTTATTTCAAGACCATCTTGAGTAACGTCTGAAGAGGCTACTACTGCTCTGCATTCATGGTCTGTTCTTATTTCAGGACCATCTTAAGTAATGTCTTGATATACGACTCTGATGGATTCATGACATCTTAAGATCGTATCTAACAATAAGATTCTTAACTCTTAAATATAAAGAATCGATTATCAATATTGGCCTGCGATTGATTTATAACATCTTAAAGACTGCATTTTTAAGATGATTTCAAATACAAGATTCGACCATGAATAGACGAAAGTTTCGAAACCCCCGAAGCCTTCTCGAAACGGAGTTTCGCATGAGTCTTTGCGGCACCAGCATATCCGGAGATTCCGTTTCGAGCACGGGATATCGCAACTACTGGCATTCACTGGTTCACTTGTGCAACGCGTCGAGGATAATGCGGCAATGAGAATGATTCGCACAATCTCAGGAACTCGCTACGGTAGGAGGGTCCCCGGAGAACACAGCACACAGATCACACAGTAAAACGTCTCGTGCGTAAAATATATCGGTTTTCCTACATGGGAGAAACGAAGGCGAGGGAGAACGAAGCGCGATTGTACGAGAGAGCGGTGGGTCGCCACAGCGCGGCCGCCATTTCGTGCGTGCGTGCGTTCTTCCAGATGCATACGTGGCAAGATTTACGCCTTTGCTTGCTTCTTCTCCTGCCTTCCTCGCCGAAGGAACAATCGAGATTCCAAAAATAATTCTCGAATCCTCGATGAGAGATTACTTGTTCTTTTTTTCTTTCTCTCTCTCTCTCTCTCTCTCTCTCTCTCTCTCTTCCCCCCACTCGTTAACGATCGATTCATCAAAACTACACGAAGAAGCATTTGAACATTATCGACAACAACGAACAACGAGAAAACGCAAAAAAAAACCCTTTTCTAGTCGATAGAACGACAAAAGGGGGGCCACGCCCCGTTCGAGCGGTCGACACCGAGAGGAGAAACATATGCCAAGGCATCGACGACACGCTCGCTGCCTTTTTCGAGACTTTCGTTTCTACTAGTCTGGAGAAACTAGCCTCCATCGCTCTTCAATTGGTAGAGGGCCCTAGTAAAATATCCCTGCAGGTAATCCAGATCTCGGGCACAACCCTTCATTCCCTCTCGTCGTCTAAACTGCGCGAAACGATCATACGATACGACTTCGCGTGATGCGTAGAAGCTCTCTCTTTCTCTCTACAGTTATCTTTTATTTTTTTTCCCCTACGATGATATACGCTTATGGAGAATACGCAGTGGAAGTTATACGGCTAAATGGCAGAGAAGTCCTTCGGGAGAGCAAAGTAGATACGTGCGACTCACGCGAGATTAGACGAACGACTCCCCGGGAGAGTCCCCGAACGTCCTGGTGTTTGCGCTTGCGTGCGGCGTTTCCTTTCAGAGCGGCCAACCAGGGCGTACCTCGTCCCACCATCACGATGAATCTCCCCTACTTGGCGATATCGCCTCCACCGCGAGCGCTCTCTCTGCTGTCTGCACACAGGGTGTGCCAGAAACAACTTCCCGGACTCTTTGTTTTCTTTAATTTCGTGCGAAATTCAATATCCTAAGTTCTCTATTATAGGGGCCTGAAAACGAGATCTCTCGCTCTACGTTATTCCTCTCTCCTGCTCTCTCCCTCCCTTTTGCCCTTCGAAACTTGGTCCGATTCAAAATTGCGCCGAGGCCAGGCCGAGACGCGAAACGCAAAAGATATCGATGCTTCCCAATGGAACGGCAGAATAGCGCAACGTGCAATCGGGGGAATAAATCGATATTGGCGCTGCCGGGCGCTACGTTTACATCCTGGAAAAACTTTCCCCGTTCTCCATACGACTCTGTATTGTTACATTTTTAGGCAGTAAACGCAAAATTCTCAGACAAATGTTTATCTCAGAAAATTACGGATATGGACGCATGAAAGAATTTAAATTTTAATATGTTACGTCATATTGCATTAAATCCTGCAATTATGCAGCACTGGATAACATGCAGTTGTTTGTTATAACAACATTTGAACATTAAAATTAAGATATGTATTTATCCATAAACATAATACAATTTAGACTTTTATTTAACATTGAAGGTGATTTCGACTAAATACCGACTAAAATAACTTAATTAACTTTATTGAGTATATATAATACGATTAAAATTATTAAATAATATTAAAGTATCTCTCATTTATTATTTATTATTTTAATAAAGTAATACTTTATTAAGTATGTATATAATACGAATAAAATTATTAAATTAATCAATAGAATTATGTTTATATACCGAAAAAAGATTAGAGAACAATAAATGTATATTAGAGATTTTGTCTCATGTCCGTTTCAACCAATGTAATTTAATTTTAATCTCGGTTTAATTTTTCATTTTTTTCTAGTTCTAATAATTAAAAAAAGATAAAGAGTAAGTTAAACCGGGATTAAAGTTAATCTACATTGGTAGAAATGGGCATTGTAGTCGATTAACTACAGCTTAAGCTAATCGAAGTTTGATCGAAATCGCTGTGGATCTGATACAAAATGAATTTTATTCATGATTGGAAGACGTGTTTTTTTCGTAATAGTCCGACATTTTGAGAAAATCCACCTAGACTAACCAGCACGAATCGCCGTGCCGTTAACTTGATGTAATCAATGAAGCGCGGCACATTAAAGCTGACGTTTTCTTATGAACACCTTATATATTTATATGTCATTTCTTTCATACTGCTTCCTCCTCTCTCTCTCTCTCTTTCTGTTTCTTTTCTCTCTCTCCCGCTCTCTTTCTCTCTTTCGTGTTACCGTGAGTCGAGTCACTCGGCGAGAGCCGTCATGGTCTCTCCCTGCAAAAACATCCGCGACGATTTTTATCTGTACTGATCTGAACGTAGCGGAGGAAGACTTCGATCGAGGTCTCATCTTTTTCTTTTTCTTTTTCGCTTCTTCTGTTGTCTCTTTTCCTCTGGATCCTCTCTCTCTCCTGTCTTTCTCTCTTTTTCCTTTGCTTTGGTCTTAATTTCCTGTGCTCGCATCGAGTATCGAGAGAGCTTTCTAGAGGTAGAGGATTACGGGGTCTCTGTGCTTCGCGGATCTTTCCTTCTTTCTTCGAAATCCTAAACGATCCCAGGGAGATCCCTTCAGCGCAGTTGCCGCACATAGAATCGCGACGTTGCCATATTCGTAGGAACTAGCTAATGTTTGCTGATGGAGGGCACATTCCACGCGCGGAAATAGATATATTGAAAATACAAGTCCCTGTAGAAACATGAGGCCTCAATTTGTTTATTATATTTGTAATATTTTTCACAAAAGCTGCACTTTACAATAGCAGTCAGACTGCTAAGTACTCAATATCAGAGCTATTAATCAAGCTAATATCAACAATTTCGACTTATCGGCTTGAAAATGATGCAATTAAATAACCGTAAGCGATATTTTAAGAATAAAATTTCACATCACTTCTCACGATTAGATTAAGCCAAGTCGGAAAACATCTGACGAAATCATTCTTGATTGAACCCGTGTCCTCTAAGAGCTAATGGCGTTGACATTTGTTACATGAAGATTAATGGTGTTCCAGGTATGGACGCGTGCAGAGCGTCAAGCTGCTGCCACGGGGCGAGGAGTGCCCTGTGGACGGAGGTTCCAGCAGTTCCCTTGGCGAAAGCAATGAGGGCGGTTCCGGTTCCAGTTCAGGCGGCGGCGGCGGTGGCGGGAGCGGCGGTTCCTCGACCAGCGGGGGTGCGGCAGCGACGGTGGCGTTCATGGATATCAAGTCCGCAGCGAAGGCTCACGCGACTGAGCATACGCTGGACGAACGGGCTCTCACCACACAGTACTACGAGCCACAACATCTTCAGCACAGGTTCCCCTCTCACGGGTAAGTTTGCTCATTGCAAGTTCCTGTATGAGCCGCCACGACACTCGACTCAGGATACTTCTTGCAGAGTGCCACAAAACTAGATCACTCAGAAAAATCGGGAAAAAAATTCTGGAATTTCAGGTTGAGGAATTTGTGATAACCCAGTCTTGGAAAAAGGGAAAGTTCGAAACCTACAAAAGATACAAAATTACGCACACATAGATATAATAAGATTAGATTGCGCATTTCTATGAAGTTGTGACCGTCAGTTTAGGAAGAATGAGATAATTTGAATTATATCGCTCTTTCTTTCTCTAAAGAATAGTTTTGAAGAGATATACTGATATGCTCAATTCTTTCTAATGGAGCACAGATGCTGAGATCTACAGAGAATGTGGAATCTTATCTATTATGTATTATATCTATGAAAATACTAGAGTATTTCTATACTCACTGAAATAATAAAGAATACATCGATTTAAATACAATCTAACTCTAATAAGCAATAACGATTTATATGCAAGTGTTATTAATTATGAAGTCAGTCGCAGGACGTCCACAAAAAGCGATGACTCTCTCTGATTCCTAGTGTTTACAAAATTGATAATTTGTTGAATTAGAATATAATAAGAGTCAAGGCCAGAGCACTGACTTTGCATAGCGCATAATGCATAAAGCCTAAGAAAAGTAAACTAATAAAAAGAGTCTTTTATTTCATGGAAAAGAAGGAAATGAAAGATCTTGATTGGTTTTTTTTTGCATTATGTGTTATGCAAGACTCTGTGCTCCCGTACTTAGGACAAACTGTGACCATGTAGCTAACAGCGAATTCGGTTGGACGCATTAGTGCATATTAAAGCCGGTTTGTACACTGATTTAATCTGTGCAAAAGTAAAATGCAAATATTTCCAATTATAAAATACAGATTTTACTTAACAGCATAATAAAATGTATTAAAGATTTTATGGTTTAATTCGTTTTTATATTTATATTAAACATATATTTTTACATCAATTTGTGTACGATAGTTTTAACGCGCACCAATATGTACTGAGTGCATTCAATCAATTCGCTATAATTATAAATTAACGTTGAAATTATTCTAGTTTAGTGAAAACAAAGAAATCTAAAAATAATAACGATTCTGATCGGAGTCCATTCCGAATAGTTCCATAATATATGTCCTGTTAAGTGCTTAAATATTTTATTCATATATGATGTCAAAAGTACACGAAATATAAGATTGAATATTTACTGATATCACAAAATGACGCTGTTTTCGATTATAAAACTTTAACCAACTATTATTTCTTCTTTTTTTAAATATATTAAAAATTTGTGCTTATCTTGGCTATTACATATGGCGGATTTAGGCAACCAATAAAAAAATCGTACCTCTTTTTGTTTAACTATTATCATAGAAACTTTAGTTGAATAAATTTTCATTTGCCCCTATTGATTTTCCCAGAGTATTGATTTTCCGTACAGCTGACTCGATACACAGTCGACTTTTTGAAACGGAACTACATAGCGTGTGAATAACAAGGACGTAACAAACACGTGGTATTATATCTCAACAGGAAGAGATGTGTATTTTTTGAAGAATAGGAAGATACACATACACAGTAACAACGTGACGTGATATAATGCTTTCCATCATTTTGCTATAAATAAGAGTCCATAGGTTCTTTTGTCGATGTAATAAATCACTACACTGTTAGATTTGTGTATTAAATTAGTTTTTGATCATAACACAGATAATATGGCAATGACATTCGTCATGCGGAAATAACAGTTTCAATGGTTGAGAGAATATTCTATTCTGTTTTTTATAATCGTTAAAGCGGAAAGTTCTTAAGCCGGTATTTGTAATCGGTTTTTATATTTAAGATCGTCTTAAGTACAGTCTTAAAATGTCATGAACCAATCACAAAGCTGTATCGGTATTTTAAGATATTACTTAAGACTTCAACAAGTATATAGACTAGATAAAATAGCGGAAGCTTTAAAATATAGATGAAGCTTTGAAATATATTATATAAATAGATTTCAAACAACTTCGCAATTTTTTATTACATTTTTATTGTAAATTCTAACTATAGTATGACAACGTATTAGTAAGAATTAATTTCGGTAAATTATAGGGTTGCATCCTTTCGATCGATATGGAAATATTCTCAATCGTGCCTTTTCCTCCAAATTAATCTTATCCAAGAATAGAAAGATATTCTCAGCCTCAAAGTGGCACGTACAAGTGCCGGTTTACGATGAGTCATGTCCTAGGAATTAATTAAATCGCACGTCACAGGAAGCAGGTACAAAGACGACAATGAAACGTCGTTATAGACAAATGGTCTTTCTATTATCTTTCTAGCAAAATTCATATGTACGAATGAATTACACTTTTCTCCCGACTTTTTGTCTGATCAAAAATCAATGATCACTGTTAGATTCGCATATTTTTAGTATTTTAATTTTTATTCATTTATTTTATGTGTCGTAAAATGGAATAACTTATCTGACTCAGAATAACTTTGGCTCAAATTTAAAAAAATGCCTAGATATCACGTACATTTAAAACCAAAACATAAAACCGTCTTTAAGACTTACATCTCTCAATCTTAACATCATATACATGTATTAGGTATCTAACATCACACGTATTATGGAATTGTTCAGAATGGAATAGAATTGTTTAATTATTCCCTAGATTTGTATTTTCTAGGATAATTTCAACCTTAATTTGATTATACATGGCGACAGTTTCTAACTCTTATTACATTATAGCGACACTAATTTAACAAACTATCAATTTGATTACCGTCTGTGCATTATCAAATGAACTAAAATATGATTTCATGATACTATTGTATAGCCTCAGAGTTAATAAGTCTACCGACCATACTGAAATCGTTACAGATAATGGGGATAGTTCGTCGAAAGATCATACCATTTAGTTATTATTTATTGTGTTCCTATTTTTCAAGAATCATGCTGTTTTTTCAGTTTCAAGAATTAATCATATTATGGCAATTATTGTTCAATGCTATATAGTACTATCGTTGCATCGATTTCAGTAAACACGTATGGGGGTACATACATTTCTTTTTGCTGATGTAAACAGCCAATTGTAATGTTAAGCTTCACGTATAATAACGCATTATTAATGTTCGCTTCGTTGCATGCCAATCATTATCCGTATTATCTTTGGCTTTTAACATAGTAGATACACAACGCACATGCACATACTCTCTCTCTCTCTCTCCCGTTTGTTTTGTTTCTCTCTCTCCCTCTCTCTCATTGAATTAATATTAGAGCAGTTACAACAAAGCGCGAAATCAACTGCATTCCCAGCAACACAATTTCAAATATATTCGGCGATATGATGCCTCGTGATAAATTATGGATAAATATACGTAACGCACTTTGCGCAATGCTAGAACTGGTGTCAAAAGTATCACTCGGTTTTTTTAGCTGAACTTCTTGCACGGTTCAATTTTCCTCCTTTTCTTTTCACATTGGAATAAAATGAAAACCAAATTTATTAAATAAGAAGTATGAAAGCTTACACAAGATTTTATTGTGAAAAACAATCTTTATAAAATAATCTTATATAATAATAATGATAATAATAACGAGAATTTTATTTTAGATCGTATATGTGAGAACTAACAAGAATTAGAAATTAAGTGCCTATAACAGTTGAAGCTGGATCTTTAATGCTTGAATAATTCATTGTGAATTACATATATGCTATATATGTAATAATAATAATAATCAGACATTTCGACCTTTTATTAGATTATCCTCAGTATATTGTCACAATAGAGAAGCTAAAATTTAAAAATTACATTTTGAAACGTGTCGATTACGAAACTAATTCGCTCACGTAACATAGCATATGTCACTACATTTTTTTGGAACGATTCACATGAACTTTTAGATTCCATTAAAAAAAAGGAAAGATAAAAGAAGTTTAGCTAAAAAGAAAATGCACATTTCTAATAAATTACACTATGATGTGCTTATAAAATATTTCCGATGTGACAAAAGATCCATTAAAGTACCACAATAGAATTAATAATATAATTTCAGAATGATCGTAAATTAATTCAACTTATGTTCGCAGCTACGAGACATGCGGTTTACCTTAAAAGGCATCTTCGTTTACAATAATCCAAGTGCTCCTATTCCTCTGGTCACATAGCTAATATAGATATATTCGAATAATACGTAACGCATCCATGTGTGATTTTTCAAGTTGAGAATCACTGGCGTATTTACTTTGGCTCTAATATGTAACGTAATCTTTCTCTTTTTTTTTTCTGCCGCGCCACGCATTCACGCTGCGTGTTTTCTGACGTCATCACCTACATCGCAGTCGCCCTCGTCTATTTACTACATATTTGACGAATTGCGTGTTCTACGGCTAAATAGATAGTATGCTGCACTTTCTCTGTGGCATCGACGGCACGCGGCACATACTTGAAGTTAAAGCGTATCGCATGTCGCGTTCGGAAGAGTCGCAACTTGCCTTCAATCGATCGATCTCATGATGGAGGCATGGAGGAAAGAACGGGGAAGAGAGAGAGAGGGGGGGGGAGGGGGAGAGAGAGAGAGGAGTAGCGGGAAAAAAAGGAGGAAAAAAGGTCGTGCGTGCACGCTACACGCCTGCACGCCTATATTCACGCGCGCGCGACCGAGGAGAGTATAGCGGCGTCGCATTTCCACGAAAAGTCAGGTGACCGTGACGACGTGGTCGCTGGCGATGTTGCCACGTCCCGACGGCTGCGCGGGCGCTATCGCCCGAGTAGTAACTGTCGAAGCGTGACGACTGTAGCGGGAAGGGCGTGCGGGGGAGGAGAGGGGAGAGAGCGTTAACTGTCAGTGGCGTAGTAAGGAATTTACGAGCCCGGTTCGACTCGTCCAATCTCAATCGCCTCCGCTCGTCTCACCTGGCCGTATATGAATGCCGGGATTGAGATATTTATGTTGCATGGTGATTTCTTTTGTACTCGCCATGGATTCGCTCAGATGCGAAAACATTTCCGCAACGTCGACTATACCCTACCGCCGTCGAACTGGCGTAAAATGTTAAATATCAGAATGTACATGACGGTGACCTAATTTTCTATTAAAATGTAACAGTTCATTATGCCACTCATTTGCTACGACAATTGAAAGAACAAAGTTCCCCAGAAAATGAGTTTGAATATTTCGAATCATTAACATTTTGTAATATTAATTTTAAAATACAATTCTGATGTAATAACTGATTATAGAGGAATAGAAACATATTTTGTGAAATAATTTACTTCTTTTAAAGTATGTCCTTTCTTTTTTTCTTTCCACTCTTTTTTTGCAAACGACTTAAAAAGTTGTTTACGGCAGATAATCTTGAAAAAAATCATTTTTAATAATGAATAATTTTTTATTGTAATTTCTAAAAAATATATGATATTTTGTGAAATAATTTATTTCCCGAGCAGATAATCGAACAATTTTTAATAAGTTTTATCTTCAAGTACATTGTTAATGATCTTTCGATGATGACATACATTAAAATGTAAAAGAGAGCTATTAAAATGATTAGTAAATTCATCATGATGTACTCTAATGTCAGGGGATTATTTTTTCTACGTAATCATTCAATATATATCGTTTGATGAGTTTCTATTGCAACGGTCGATCGCTTAGTTGCAACTTTTGATCGAAGCATACTAGAATATATTTATAACAATGTTATCGAATAAAGTCCTGTCAAGATAACGAAATTTGTGAATTACCAACCATTCGATTTCCGTTTTCAATCAAGTGTTTCCTTGCTGCATATTTTATTTGTTAAAATTATTTTGTAAAATGTGCGAACAGTCAGTTCTTTCGATTACTTAAATATTTTGAATTCTTTCCAATAAAGTTGAATCCAAATTCAAATATATATTATCAATGATGTCGGAATATCAAGTATCATTTGATTATGTAAAACTTCACAGCACGAAATTTCATTTTTTTTTTTGTTTTTAATCGCAGACTGATACAGTGTTATTGACATATTCGTGATACCAGAATAACTTCGCGTGTTCAACAATTTTAGAATCATTCAAAGTTGTCGAAGAATCTAATTTAACTTCATATTGATGAGGATATTCGACTTGATCCACATTTTATATATTTTGTGTATAAAATAATTTTTTAATTAGGGTCAAATTGAGAATTTAAATAAAATGAAAAGTTGGAAAAATTTTATGAATATTACAATTGCAGCAAAGACGGGAAAAGCTGAAGATTGGTTCGCAGGTCCATGATAGAAACGCAAATACGTCATTGCATTCTAAAGATTCGTATCACTTCGATATTCGGACTTTCCGCTGGAATGTCTAAATATTTCAATCTGGAATTTACACAGTATTATTATTATTATTATTAATCATTCTCTTTTTTTGCTTTCTCTCGCATGACTGATACGACACGAGTTATCATTTTATTTTTATGCGCACAGCTGAAGGCAATTAACTTCTTTTGTCATCGCAAAGTTTATGAACGTTACAGTTTTCTTGTATCCAGTACAACAATTATACAGAACGTTTGATAAGAAGCATCTTTTATTGAATACAATATTTCTTTTTATTAAAAATTAAGTGCGTTTTTTCTACACTTAAGATTTTTAATTTAACGTACATCTTTTTGTAGTTTTTAAAGGATATTATAAAGCTTAATGTTTTATTAAAATTTACGTAAAATTAAACAATAAGTATGATTTCTTCAATTTATTTGCAATATTAATGTTAAGGAAAAATGATATCAGTTTTATAAGAAATGTATAAGTATTGATTTTCAATGTGAAATAAATTCTATTATTCGACAACTTTGGACGTTTTTCTACCAAACGCATTTATACTAAACACTTTATATTCATGGATATAATTTCCATTTTTTAATATTTTTATCATTTACGTCATATTTTTGAGCGAGGTCTATATGCGTGCTTGTTTTTTCCGTTTTTAATTATGAATTTTTTAAAATACAAATTAGATGTAAAATCTAATTTTACATCTAAATTGTCATTGTAATATGTAAGTCGATTCGTCATATAAATCGAGTATCATATTAATGTTCAACAAAAAAACAAATTAATTATACATATGAAATATGAAATTGGACATACATTTTAATTGCAATGACTGTGTAATATAAAAAGAATGAGACAGTAAATACGAAAATTTTATTGTCATTTTTTATAGAAATATCTTTGCTATGTATTAATTTCCTTTAATTTTTGATTAACAAGTAAGATTAATTAACGAACAAAACGATGAGATGACAACGATAAAATCCAGATTGAAAATAATAAAATATTATTACATCAAAGTGAATTATCGTGCAATTTCAAGACAATAAATACAACTGATGGCAATACTCTTCTAACAGGCTAAAACTCCTTTAAAAACAGAAGAAAACAAATGTATTTCTTCTTTAATTAAAGCAGATCTAACTTGTAACAGTACTTCTTCACCGCATGACTTGTTAAATAAATAAAACAATCCTGAAGAGGAAGAGTGACGAATGTATTTCGTGGCGACTTCTCATTGACCCGAGTACTAACGGCCGTTCCCTGGTCGATGACTAAGCAGAGTTTTTTCGTCTTTCAGAAGTTCAGAGGATCATGGATCCAGCGGCGGCAGCGGGGGAGGAGGCGGCGGAACAGGCGGCGTTTCCGGTGGCGGCAGCGGTGGCGGGAGCACCGGTGCCGGGGTCGGCGGTAGCGGCGGCGGCGGTGAACGAGGAGACAGGGGAAGCGAGAATTTCGATTCACGTGGTTCCCATGGCAGCTTCTACGGTAGCGAGAGGAGCAACCGAGTGGTTGGCACCGGGAGCGGCGTCGTCGGCGGCGGCGGCAGCGGCGGCGGCGGCGTCGGCAGTCATTCGACGGATCCATCGACGGGGGACCCTGGCGGCTACATATCCCGCAGCCGTCCACCACCTACGAGTTCTTATCACGTGACATCGAGCAGGGCGAGGGATCGGCTATATCCGAGGACCGGCCCGTACGTCTCTGGGCCGCCGCCCCCGCCCCACTTAGACCGACATCGTGGAAGTTTGCCGCCGTCGTCCTGGTCGGCATACGAGCCGACGAGTTCGAGGTACGGCGGGGCACCGCCGCCACCTTCACCCGCCACCAATGACGCTTACCAAGACGACCAAGGTAATCATTCTAATCCAGAGTAGAAGAGTTATTTTTATCATCATAAGAAAGACACGCGTGTAGTTTCTATATATTTGTTATTCATTTGAGTATATATTTTTTACTCATTTGAATCATTAAAATGAGAATTGAATGTTAAGGGAATGTCAAAGATAGAACCGCTCGATGCCGAGTGTGTAAAGAATATGGAAACTTAATTGCTACAAACTGTAAATATTTAGCGATGAACTTTGATTTGCATGAAGAAAAATGACAGATACATATTTCTTTCTCATTTACCACGTTACCATTTAATTTTAATTATTCTTCTTTTGTAGGAGGTGGTGGAGGCGGTGGTAGCGGTAGCACTGGTGCTTTGCGACAGCATAAGAAACAGCGAAGAAAATCACGAAGTGGGAGCAGCTCCCCAAGCGGTAGTAGTCGTTCCGGAAGTAGCAGCAGCAGTCGAAGCGGTAGCTCGGGCGGCAGCTCTTCCGGGGGTAGCACGTCGCCCGGTAGCTCGCCGCATCGCACCAGCAACGTAGCCGTCACGGAGGATCGCAGGCCGTTGGCCATCTGCGTTAGAAATCTGCCGGCACGTAGCAGCGATACTTCCCTCAAGGATGGCCTTTTCCACGAGTACAAGAAGCACGGAAAGGTGACGTGGGTGAAGGTCGTCGGTGCAGCCGGCGACAGATATGCCCTAGTCTGTTTTAAGAAACCCGAGGACGTGGAGAAAGCTCTCGAAGTTTCGCAAGATAAGCTATTCTTTGGATGCAAAATTGAAGTAGCCCCTTATCAAGGATATGATGTGGAGGACAACGAGTTTAGGCCGTACGAGGCGGAACTCGATGAGTACCATCCGAAAGCAACAAGAACATTGTTCATCGGTAACCTCGAGAAGGATGTTACCGCATCCGAGCTCAGGAAGCATTTTGAACCGTTCGGCGAAATAATAGTGAGTTCAAATTGTTTTGAAATTGGAACGTTTGTTTATAATGTTAATATAGAAATTGAATAAAAAGCAAAATCATCTGAACAAAACTTCCAAATGAGAAAGCCAATTAAAAATAATATCTAAGCCTAATAGACATTAAAACGAACACTCCGTTATATTTGTTTACAGGAAATTGATATTAAAAAACAAGGCGCCGTGTCAAGTTACGCTTTTTGCCAATATTCGGATATCGGTAGTGTTGTTAAAGCGATGAGATCGATGGATGGCGAACATTTGGGTGCAAATCGAATTAAACTTGGATTCGGGAAGTCGATGCCCACATCCTGCGTTTGGGTTGATGGTATCGGAGGTATTTTATTATATTTATTACATTTTTTATTATACTTATTATGTACTAGTAAGAAATATTAAAAGCACGGTTATTTATCAAAATGCAATAGAACGATGTGCCAGTAGTTTTATTTTATTAAAAGTTGCATCAGATAGTAGCATTAAAATTTGCAAAAATGAGATGATTAAAAAAGAAAAATTTGCTACAATACCAACAATGTCAAAACATGGCATTAAATATATTAAATATTTTTTCTTTTTTTAGATTGCATGTCCGAGAAATATTTAAACATGCAATTTCATCAATTTGGACCGATAACTCAGGTAGTGGTAGATCGTGAGCGTGGTCATGCTCTGGTCTTTTTCGATCAAATAAGTTGCGCTCAAGCTGCCGTAAAAGAAATGCGGGGAGCTGCACTTCGTGGTCGCCGTTTGCAGGTCGATTTTGCCTCAAGGGAATGTCAGGAAACGTTTTACGAACATCTCGAGCGTCAAGGAAATGTTAGTGAAAAGCCTTGGGACTCGAGGCCTTCGCCAGCATCTTCATTTGACGTGACGTATGTATACTTTCTTTATAAATAAATTTTATTATAGCTAAAAAATATCTCGATAAAATATGAAACGTTTAATATTAATAAAACAAGAAGTTTTTTTTAATATGCATATTTGATATTTAACAATCTTTATTTGAAACAATTTCTAATTAGTCTAAATAATTTGATATTCTGTTAGATTATACTGGTAGTTTATTAATGAAATAGACGCATGCTTATGTATAAATTCACGAGTTACAATCAAGAACTTATAAAACGATTGCATTCGTGATTCGAAGGATTCCTTCTAGGCGGGAGCGTAGTAGTTTCGATTCGGCAGTGACGGTGTCGAGTTCGAGCAACAGATTTACACGCTATGACACGCCCCCGCGTTCAAGAACGGCAAATTACTCGCGAACTTCTGGAGGCAGTACACCTGGTGCGAGTCCAGCCCATCCAACAGCGATGTCACGAAGTAGTAGACGATCGTATCAGGATTCCTACTACGATGGTGATTACGCTGAACCGACGTCGCGACGGTTCCGTAGCTACGACGAGTTTAGTCAAGGCAGCGGTGCAAGTCACGATGATTATCAGAGCAGCGTACTCAGTGACAGTAAACTCAACGACGACGATTGTCCGCCACCATCACGGCGTCACACAGTGCAAAGCGTCGTTACGAGTGTCGATCCACCTGCGCCACCGCCACCGTTATTACCTCCACCCGACATTCGACATCTCCAAAAGGAGCGCGTCCATTTATTGGAACAACTTGAAGAATGTCACAGTAGCGGTGACGAGATTGGTTTCGTGCCGAAGAAACGCGCTAAACTTGACAGTTCGTCGACGACAATACTTTGTGAAGATGACGAGCCGGAAATTGCGTCGATACTCGTTACCTCGCATTCTAGTAGAAAAGGCATGGACTTTAGACGCGTTAGTGATAGCAAAGTAGTGGTGCATCATAGCACAAGGAGAGGTAGTTGCGAGGGCAGGGGTCCTGGACCTTGTAAACGTCGTCGGGATGCCACTAGCAGGTGAGCTGTGTTAATATTTAAACAACATAGAAAAAAGCAATTAAAAATTATCAAAATTAAAATAACCATATTTTTTTACAGGCATCATGAACATCATGATGGATCTCGACCAGGTACTCCTCTTGTTGATGAGCGACCGGAGAATTTAGTACCTAGCGAACCAAGACGATTTAGAGAAAGGAGTCACGAAGGTCCATTGTCGCTGCCTTTACCAAGGTTTGCAGCTCAAATGTTGAACAATAACAACAATACAAGCAGTAGTAATAACAACAATGGCAGCAGCACTCGATCGAGCAGTGCCAGCCTCGCCAAAGTTGCTAGTCCGCCATGTGCCAGCTTGTCTACTGCGCCCAGTCCTCGTGCCGCTCCACAACCGCCGGCTTCACCGCCTCCCAGACATACCAGCTCGAGTCCAACCAGTTCCGACAGCGAGACAGCGCCACAATCCCCTAGTCTAGAGGAGAGGATACGCTCTCTGGATGAAAAGTACGAAAAATGGTCTGGTTCGAGAGCATTGAGTGCTGCTGGCGGTGATGCACTGGCAAAACTTGATGCGAGCGCTTCAGAAAGATTCCGATTTCGGCATAAACTGCTCGATATGGATCTCCATGAGGTGCAACCTTCCGATATAGTGAAATCAGTTCTCGCGAAAAGAAGCGTATTCGATGAAGACTCTAAGCGATTGGAGAACTTCAGTGAAAAGTACGAACCGCGGGAATTTACTGGTGTTATTGGCGTTAGTTCTATGATCGGGAGCACCGCTGGTCTTACCACTAGTGGCTGTACTAGCAAAGTTTGTCTGCAGTATCCGTTTCCTAGTCATCCGCCGGTACAGCCGACCAGCGGTATTTCGGTTAGTCAAGTCGGCATTAATACGTCATTGTCCGCAAGTTTGACCGCGACGACGACTTCGATGGCCCCGTCGATGTTGAAGACCGATCCGCGGATAGTGCAACATAACTGCATACATCCAACGCCGGCGACGCCGATTACACCTGGTACTTCTATCAAGACAGTTAGTCCTGAATTACCACCGGTTTCTCTACCAATCGGTCTCATTAGTGGAACAGCAGCCAGTAGTGGCAACGGTAGTGGTTTAGCGTCAGCCAGTAGTCTTCTAAGCAACAATGGTAGCATAGGTAGCATTCACACTCTTGGAGCCTCGACACATCGAGGATTGAGCATCTCTGCGACCACCGCATCACCCACGGTGACTGCAGCGTCAACAGATGCCTTCTCGACTGCGATAACACCAGCGGTACCTGTTGCGACAACCTCGTCAACGGTAGCAGCAACAACAACGATGTCTGTAACAGGCACAGTATCTTCCATGACTACTACCAGTTCGATAGCTCCACCGTCTTCCATAACATCCTCATCCAATTCTTCCTCTTCATCGTCATTATCCACAACTTCCACAGATTTGACTCGTTCTCGTTTAAAGAAAGAAACGAGCGGTAGCAGTCGAGAGAGCAGAGATTCCCGCGACGGAAAGGATGGCAGAGAGTCAAAACATAATAAAGGGAAAGATTGTCAAAGAAGATCACGAAAGGAAGAAGCAGACGTTGAAAGAAATCGTAAAGATAAGGATGAAAGTTTAAACGTTGTAAGCGATATGAGCAACACAGATAATCATAATAGAGACATTAAGGAAAACAAAGAACTAAGGTATGAACGGAAAGAACGAGAAGAGAAAGAAAGGAGAGACAAAGAAGATCGTGATAGACAAGAGCGAAGGGATAAGGAAGAGCGTGATCGACAAGAGAAAAAAGAAAAGGAGGAACGTGAAAGACGCGAAAAGGACGAAGAGAGGCGAGAAAAAGAAAGACAAGACAAAGAACGGCAGGAAAAAGATAGGAAAGAGCGGGAAGAAAGAGAACGCGAGAGAAAGGAAAGGGAAGAGAATGAACTTAAAGAAAAAGAGAGACGAGAAAAGGAACGTATCGAACGTGAAAGGAGAGAACGAGAGGAGAAAGAACGACAAGAACGGAAGGAAAGAGAAGAGCGCGAAAGGAGAGAACGGGAAGAACGCGAAAGAAAAGAACGGGAAATTCGTTTGGAGCGTGAAAAGCAAGAAAAAGAGCGTCTTAAAAAGGAAAGAGAAGAACAAGAAAGAAGAGAAAAAGAAGAACGGGACAGATTAGAACGAGAAAGAAGGAGAGAAGAGAAAGAACGTCTCGAACGAGAAAGAAAACGAGAAAGGGAAGAGAAAGAGAGACTAGAACGTGAACGGCGAAAAGAGAAAGAAGAACGAGAAAAGATGGAAAAGGAGAAACGCGAGAAAGAAGAACGAGAGAGACTCGAAAAACTTGAAAGAGAGAAACATGAGAGGGAAAAGCGACGGGAACGCGAAGATCAAGAGAGGCGGGAGAAAGAGAAGGCCGAGCGCGAAAAAAGAAGAGATCGCGAAGAAAAGGACAAAGAGAAGAGAGAACGTGACGATAACAGACGGCAGTCGACTGAGAATCATCTACATCCCTCTACTCCGCAATCACAGAATCAGGTTGCTCCGGCACCGGTACCGATCAAGCGTAGGTGTTCGTCGCAAGATTGCCCCACAGACGAAGACGCTAAGCGTGTGAAACTTTCGGATCATCGGCGAGACAGCAAAGACCGGTCTAAGCAAAACAGGAGATCCGAAGATCGCAAGCATCGTAATGATTCGCATCGTTCTAGTCGAGAGAGCAGGGAGAGTCGTGACAGTAAGGAAAGTACAACGCAAGATAGCAGGGACGGAACGCATGGCGAATCGACGCGGGAAAATAATTCGAGGGAGAGCGGAAATAAGGAAAAACAAAGGAGCAAGAAGAATCGATCGGAGAAGGAGTCGAGAGAGCGTAGCCCAAGAGTCTCACACGAATCCGATAAAGAATTTCTGTCAAAATTGGAACTTTCCAAAAGAAACGACTCGAGTCCATCGACTGAGCAGTCTTCTGTAGGAACAAATCACAGAGACGCGCAACATCATCAACAGCAACAGTCTACAGTAAATTCTCATAGCGATGTGGACGATGGTCCTCTCTCTACTCACGAAATACAGGTGGCGAGAAATCCATCAGCCACGGATACAGACAGTGACGAGCCTAAAAAACATTCGATTTTCGATATTGTCGATGACGAGCCTGCTTACATTAGCATGTATGACAAAGTGAAAGCCCGTTCAACGAAAAATATGCAAAAATTAGAAGAAGAGAAGCGTCAAGTACGTCTAAAGGATCAATTTTCCCAGTTGAAGCAAAGTCGTGCTAGACGAGAGGAGAAGAAGCAATGTACATCTTGGGACGGAGATTCAGTAAGTAGCAAAGCTCTGACGGAGGACGAGGCTTCTTCCGAATCGGATTCAACGAGAACCAAGTCCCTCTCGAGAAAGGGCTCGCGATCTCGCATTCATTCAGACACAAGCGAAGAGGAGGAACCATTCAACAACAAAGTCCGAAAGCCTGTAAAGACAGAGAGATTCCTCGAGAGCGACGTCGATCTCGGCTTTGCCGATACTGAGGAAAAGCAGAATCCGCTAGAAACTTCAAATGTTATCGTTAACAGCGTGCATACGAATATTAAGGAGGAGCCTCGTACGTCCGACGAAGATGAGCGAGTCGCTATTGGTTTCCGTACGAATCATCCCGCGATAGTAGTGAATAATCACGAAAGGGATTCACGAAAGAAGTCACACAAGAAGAAACAGAAACGTCAGAAAAATAGCATCTCGAGCGAAGACAATTTGAAGATCGAACCGAATGTAGAACATAAGAATAAAGCTGATGTCATCACGTCGAATGCAGACTGTCGGCCAAATCACGGTACGGAATTAACTACTGTCACTGCTGCTACGACCATTGTCACAACAACATTGGAGAACGCGGAGGAGAGAATGCGAGCCGATAAGAAGCAACGTAGTAAAAAGGAGAAAAGACGTGATCGGAACGGAGAAGATAAAGCTAAAGCAAGACGAAAGAGGCTCAACAGACAAGAGGCGAGGGATTCTCAACGTATGGAGGATATCTTCGGACCTCTGTCGGATGACGTTGACGATGCTCCGCCTAACACCTTCTTTAACAGATTTGGTAACATGACGTCGGAGAATAGCGCTTACGCTTCGGACAGCGACGGTGGTCGTAGCTCACTCGACATGGATAGAGTGAGACGTAAAACAGAAAAGAAACGGCGTCATCAGCCGGAAGATGAGAACAGCGTTGATCTAGCTGAAGCCGGGCGAGAAATCGAGGCGAAACTCTTGCGTATACCGAGCTCTCCGAAGACCACCCCCACGATCGAATCTAATGATCATGATGTCTTTCGATTTACCGATGATAATGATAGTGTCGAGCCGTCCACACCTTCGACAGTGCCGGAAAAAGTCAAGGAGAAGAAAAAGAAACGGAAGAAGTCGAAAGAGGAACGTAGTCGAAAAGATTACCATCACCATCACCATCATCATCACCATCATCACGAAAAGAGCAGTGAATTACCTTATTTGGGTGCCGAACCTAGTCCACCGAGAGCGAGCAGTCCACTAGTATCTAAGACAATATCACCCAATTTGTCCACGTCTAGAGAAACATTATTAAGTCCTATACCTAAGATGACTACCAATGTATCGACCGTGCCGTCGATCACTTCACCAGTTGTAACTAGTAACATTCAGACTCCCAAGTCGGAAAAGAAGAAGGACAAGCTCATACCCGGCTTTGGAATAGAAATAGACGAAACAATTCACGAAAATGCTGTGAAAAGTATCTCAGAACCGGAAGAAAGGGACAACAGTTGTCAATCGCGAAGCGGTAGAGAGGAACCGGAAGTACCTGTACCAACGACACCACCGGCTCAAAACGAAGACAAACCACGAGTGGCAATTTCGCAAGAAGAAACGGAGGATGCCGTTGCCGCGTTGCTCGAAGAAACATTTGGCGCCTCGACGGAGGACTTCTCTTATGAGGGCGAAGAGGAAGAAACGGAAGCCGATGGGGTTGCTGGGACACCGGCCGAAGCGCCCCAGGAAGACGTTGAAGAGATGCAGCAAGCGGTCGAGAGTTTGAACGCCTCGACAGGAGAGGGCGATGCGGACATGAAACCAGATACTCCACAGAGCGAGCATGATCTTCAAATCGATACGGACACGGAGGAAGATCCGAATTATGAGACGGTCGATCTCACGCAACCGCCAAAGACACCCGACATACCATCGTTTTATAAATCTCCAACGAAGACGTTACCTATGGCGCCCATTTTAACTACGCCTGAGAAGTCAATTGAAGTACGATTACCACCCACAGTTACGAAACCACAGAGTCCACCGCCTTCCGTAATTGCTCATTCTTGGAGTTTGAACGAACACAATAAGGCACGAGAACCCGTGAAACCCCATCAATTAAAAACTAGCGAATCAGATACTGACGTAACCAGTCCAGAGAGAACAGCACAGGTGCAAAGAACGTCCGCGTCACCGCCACCACCTCAGTATAAACAGCCTATGCTAGTTCCTTGTAGCGTACCGATCAGTGACGTACCGAAACCACTCTCCGTTCCAAGTTCCCGACCATCACCGATCACAGTGCAACCTCTGTATCAAAGGCTCCCTGTATCTCCACAATCTCAAATGGTACCGATGCGTCAAGCTTCTCCTAAAATGCAAAACGTCACTACAGTTTCATCTTCCAATGCAACACCGTTGCCGCCATTAGTTCCGTCAAGAATGCCTCCTTTGGTACCGTCGCAACCATCACCGCGCGTTTCTCAGCCGCTTTCACCTAACGGACAATGGTCACGGAATCCTACGTTAAACCCGCACGTACCCAACGTGGGGAAAAGAAAACCGTCACCACCACCACCTACTAAGATTGCAGTATGCGTGCCTATCCCCGCTCATAGACCGGAAACGCCAGTTCAGCAAATTTATTCGACTGCGGTGACTCAACAGCCTGTAATACAGCACGCCTCTGGAATGGTGGCACCCGCACCTGGCTATCCACGCGGCGGTTTACCGCCATTGACCGTGAATATCCCACCACGACCTTACATGCCGGTGCCACCATTGGCATCCGGCATACAGGTCAAGAGCTCGCGCGATGTCTCTGGCAAATCTGTAATTGAGACGCTACTTCCCGTAAATCCGAACGAACCTCAGAGACTAGATGAACCAAAACTATCACCCGCCGTTATACCGGAACCAACTAACAAAGCGTCCACCTCTCCTAAGGTTCCCTCGCCGAATCAACCGCCTACATATATACCTGAAACGGCGAAGATAGAAATTAACGCTAGCACATCTAGCCCAGTATTTGGCAAACCTTACATCACGGACAGTTACACGATGTCACCTAGAACGCAGAAGCAAATTTCCGTACCCATTACAACAGACAGCAATCTGCTATCACCAAGACAAAAACAGGAAGTATCCAATCTTCAACTTCTAACTACGCACGTACCTCGCTCTTCTACGCCAAGTCCTGTGATCGTGGCTCACGGTCATCTACTTCACAAATCTGTTCACTCTCTAGGCCCACAAACAGTCTCTTCTTCGAATCAACCATTGATAAAAACGGTGGTACCTATAGTTCCCCAACAAGTAACACCGAACACGACATCATCGGTGCTCAGCGATAAGTGCGTCATTCCACAAACACCCGTTGTTTGTCAAAGGCAGTCACCTGTCACTCAAAGTCAAGTAGTCAAGTCTCACATACCTTTGGTATCCACAGTGTCACAGACGATCATAACCAGAGTGGTACCATCCACTGTATCTTCTATGTCAACTCCACCGGTGAATGAGCAAACCACACCGGAATGTTTAGAACCACATATAATCCAAGGACAACAATTAGAGTTGGATGCCGAAGCGCAAATTAACCAAACTGCTCAACCGATGCAACTTACACCTCCTATACAATCTGCACCGATTGATGAGATAAAGAAGGAACCAGCCGATGTCGAACAGGAAGAAACGATGGAAGAAACTACATATAACGTAACTGAATCTGAGATGCCTTTGAATCCACTATGTATAAAAGAAGAAGATGTGAAACAGGAAAAACAAGAAGTGATTAACACGGAGATTGCACCATGCGTTCCTAAAGTCGAACCTGTCGATACGATTGTACCGAAACTTGAAACGGAAACTCCTGTAAAACTGGAGCCTACAAATGAAATTAAAGAAGAGGAGGCTGTAAAGGAAACTGATGAAGCAGAATTAGATGAAGAGCCAGGAGAGGATTTATTGAAAGAACCAAGCACGGATCCTCTCGCTATTGATTCCAAGGAAGATCCAATCGATAGCAAGGAAGATAGCGATTACTGGTCCGCAAAGGAGGTGAATATCGAAAGCGTCATAAAGAAGGTTGACGCTTTATGCGATGGTGAAGGTAACGACGGTGATGATGAAGCGCAACAGGGCAACGAAAGCATGAATAGCGATTCGCATGACACCAGCAAGCACGAATCGGATTGGTTCGACGCCGAGTCGACGGAGGGTGAGAGTAAAAAGAACTTCGTTACGGCTGACGATCAAGACGAGAGTGTTGAAACATGCGAAAACGAGTGTACGAGGAGTCGTCGCGGCAGAACGAAGAATAGGCGCGGTAGTCGCGGCGGGGTCACTACCAGGCGAGGTGGTAGAAACGCAAGCGCCGTCTCTCATCGGCGAGGTGGTAGAAGTTCCAGGGGTAGCAAACATCACGTTGAAAAGAATAAGTTGCCAGCCGATGTTTATGAATTCCACGATGACAGCGAAGAGGACAATGCAGGTCGTCCGCGACTTATTCTTACTATTAAATCTCCTGGGCCAAACGTAACGGGACCGAATGCGCAACCGGCGACACCCGTGGCCGCGGTCAAGGAGGTGCCGCCGGAGGAGTTTGTCTCTCCCGCTGCCAACACGAGGAAATCTAGAAGATTGGCTGAAAGAGACGGTAGTCGCAACACGATTGACGATGTCATCGAGGATGTTGTCCGCGGATCACCCACGAATAAAGGATTAATCAGCGGTAATGCTGGAAATGTGCATGCTACTAGGCGAAGCACTAGACACAACAATGTTCCGCGTAGTACAGCGCAGCAATCCATTGTGCCGCTGACAGAACTTCGCAAATCACCGAGGGGAAGTCGTAAAGCAGCGAGGCGAACATCGGAGAATAATGACGACAGTGGAGAGGAGAAGGCGAAGGAAGTAACAGCAGCGCCGCAAGAGACTCCGATCAAGGAAGAGCCGAAATTGATTCAGCCGGAAAGTCCGAAAGTAGAGGAACCGATTCAAACTGTTACACCAGCACCGCTGAAGACGGTATCACACGAGCCGATGACATTGATCGATCCAGTTACGGGAATGTTGATACCGATGAGAGAATCCGAGGAGGGCCAGTACATTCCGGTGTCTACGTCGTCTGGTCAAGTGCAAACTATCAATAGAACACTTGTCGAATCTCGAAGCAGCGTATTACCTGGTGCAACCCCGACGAACGAAGCCCCACGAACGAAACTTGTTTCTGAGAGTTCTGTCTTAGTACCAGCAGAGCCGAAGAAAGAAGCTGTTATAGAACACGCATCTTGTCAGCCGACACCAACCCAACAACAAATCCAACCGCAAACTAGCGTAATTACGAAACCACAATCGCCAGCGGTACAAGTCACCTCGATTACTGTTGCACAATCTTCGACAACAGGCACGACTATCGTGACTACCGTGACTGCGACGACCGCACCAACTACGACGGCGCAACCGATATCCACCTCGTCTTCGCAAACGAAACCTACGAGCCTCAAGGCGCACGTGTTGAACGCCAGCAAGCTAGTAACATCGGCTCAACAGCAAGTTATCACTAAACCCGTAGTTCCGAGTCTACCTAACCAAACGATAGTACAGAACATCGTCAAGCCACCCGCGCAAGCAGTACAGGGTCTCAATTTGCAAATACCACCCGGCAGAGTCGTGTCGCCCAGCTTGAGCCCACGTGCGAAACAAGCGCCATTGACTCCAACGAATGGAAAACAAGGTCAACCAATGTCTCCTGTGCTCAACAATACTGGAGCACCGCCTAATCCCAAGCAACATCTTCTTCAAGCCGCTAAGCAACAAACATCGACGATAGTGAACATGCCACAAAAACTGCCGATGAATATACATCCTGCCAGTGTGAACGTTAGTACTCCGACACCATCAAGAATCCATCAACCGCAGCCTACTGCTCTAAAAGGTATCAATGGACAGCCCCATCCGCTCAATCCGAAAACACACTTGCTACAGGCTGTGGTTCCACCGATTGGAACAGTAGCGAGTTCACCTACGCAACCGCATCTCGTCAATCCTCAGATCTCAACTGTCGTAAACAGTGTCCGACCACCGGGACCGAAAGCTCCTGTACGTAAGATTTTGTAATCGAGGAAATTCTTGAGACATTTTAAACTCGAAAGAAATAAAGGCCAAAAGTTTTAAATCAGCCTTGATTAATATTTGGAAACTCATTTCAGACCACTGGACCAATGGAACCGCAAAAGGTGGAAGTGCCAATGTCTGGTTGTATTATGGTGCCGACTGCGAGTCCGCAAAGTCGTAGTGTACCGATGCCGACGTACGAGCCTCCACTGGTAAGTATTGTATTTCAATTTTCTTCACCAATTTTATTCACACGTGTGTTTAAAAATCTTGCACTCGAGACGAAAATAATAAGGTTAATCCAGAATACGTTAAAACGGCGTTAAACTAACTCTGTTTGGTTTCGGTTAGCATGGAAGTACGGGTGCTACTCCACCAGGGGGTCAGTATGGTCTTGTCCCCCCGCATCGTTCCCAGAGCCCTCCATTGCCTCCACCTGCCCATCATCATGCTAATACTTCACAGGTACTTACTTTCTAATATTCTTTTAATAAAACACTTGTGCGACTTACGTGAAAATCAAGCAAAGCTTTCTTTTATTGATTATTTTGACAGATTGCATGAAGTTTTAAGAAATGTTGTTGCGTATTTATTAAGTAAATTAGTGTAAAAATATATTGATTTAAGTAATTATGGAAATAATTCTATTACAGAGTGAAGTCGTCAACCATTACGGAGGACTAGTTCGTGACCACTACTTGCATTCTCAAATGTTCCAATATCAATATCTCCGCGCGCAACAGGAAGCGTTAACGGCTCCTCGCATAACTTATCACATTCCAGGAACAAGATCTCCGCACGTACCTTTAGATCCGAAACTCGAGCCTGGTATAGAGGACAGTCACAGTCCTCCTTTAGAACTGAGACGAGGCACAAGAACGCCTCAGGATCGTACTACCGACAGTCCGCAAATTGCTCATTTATACGGGGGAATGAGACCGTTACCACCCCCTCCATCACAATACACGGGAAGTAATCCATCGTTATCTGGCGCACCGGCTAGCGCTAGAGCGGGTTACGGGTACGAACCACCACCCGCTCATTTGCGTTCTCAATATCCTGTGGCTGGCAGCGAGGCTCCACCTGAAATAGGTAGAGCTCCTACGCCGGATAGATGTAGGAAACATCAGGTCGTCACTCCGCCGCTTTACGCGTCTCAGGTGCCACCGCAAGCGGATTCATTTCAGATGCTACTCCAACGTCATCCGGTTATGTGGCAAGGTTTATTAGCTCTCAAGAACGATCAAGCAGCGGTACAGATGCACTTTGTCTTTGGCAATCCCAGAGTAGCCAGAGACAGTCTTCCATGTAACAGCGATGGCTCTACACCGCCGTTGAGAATAGCGCAAAGGATGAGATTGGAGCAAACTCAAGTCGAGGGCGTAGCAAGAAAGATGCAGGTATGTGTTACAATCTCTTTACTAGATTATAGTACTAGAATTATACAATGTTATAAATCCTAAATTTATTCGTATTTAAAAATAATTGTATATTTTAACATTTTGTATAAATAGATTTTTTGTAAATACTAAAAGATGATTCCTGCTACACAAATAAATTTTAAATAAGATAAACTAATTTTTAATATGTCATTTGATGTCTTCTAGACTGAAGATGAACATTGCATGCTATTGGCACTACCTTGCGGCCGTGATGAAGTAGATGTATTGCAACAAAGCAAAAATCTTCAAGCAGGATTTATTATGTATCTTCAACAAAAGCAAGCTGCTGGAATTGTAAATATTGCTGCACCTGGGTCGCAACAGGTATGGTAAAATTGTTACGTGTGTGTGTGTGTGTGTGTGTGTATATATTTCTCATGATGAAAATTGTATTATCACAAGATTCAAGTCTTTTATCAAGTTTAAAAGTTTTATTATATCAGTTATTTTGTTTTCTATGTATCCCTTTGTCTTGTTAATTATTTATTCGGTTTTAATGACAGTGCGCTATCAAAATATAACGTTACAAATTAATTAATTATTTTAGGCGGCGTATGTAGTTCACATTTTTCCATCTTGTGATTTCGCGCATGAAACTTTGGCAAGAATAGCACCGGACCTACATCACCGAGTTGCAAAAATTGCTCACTTATTAATTGTCATCGCCACGGTTTGAGGCCAATCAGCGACCTACTGGATTAATCTAACTATATCTCTCGCCTTCGCGCACCGCAGGACGCTTCGCACGTGGTATGAAGCCTGGAGTGTCCGTCTGACACACATAGTTGTGCGACAAACAGAGAGATGCATTCAAGAGGAAGAACTCCTTGTTAGGAGTTGTATCAGTGACAATCAAACGGAACCCGGCGGTAAGCCGATCTTTAGATCGTAGGCCTAAAAAACGAGGCACGAGGTTGTGCAGTGAAGCGAGGTTAGCACCTGGTTATCATCGTGCGTGCCTCTCTTCGATGAATTTCGCGCGGGCAAGCTCGTTTCGTTCTCTTGTCCCTTTTTTCCTCCTCTTTTCCTTCGAACAGCTTGTGACTCGCGTCAATCATTGACAACGTTTGTGGGATCGACCGACGTCACTCTTGGTCTTTCTGACAAGCGAGTCAGGCACAACCCCAGCCCTCAAGACAAGACCTTCGATTCGTCACGCGACGTCCGCTTACTTACGCTCGTCCTTCCCGTAGAGGGAACAGTAATAATTCGTTGCTCTAGATGGACAAGTGGACTGCGAAGCATAATAACGAATAGGAGAACCTTAACGTACACTCGTCACTATTACACATGAGTTATTTTAAGCGAGGTCTAGGCATTAATGATAAATTGTGTAAATTATATAAGCGAGCCACCGAGGGCATAACTACTGTGATTTTAAGTATTTAACGATAATATAACTGCGTATAAAGGAGAAAAGAAGAAGGTGACAAAAAGTAAAAACATATAAGGGGATGCCCGACTAATGGTCCGCGCGGTATGTGATGTGTTTTTGTATAATACTGCTCTATATAAATAATTATGTATTATATTACTGTAATTGATAGTTTGCTGCTGCCCGTTGCTGCTGCCGCCGTCGGTCGTGTCGTTAGAATGTAAATTACAATGTTAGACATCTAGCACAGAGAAACGAGAAAAGTTGGGCTACCCCGAGTAGGATTTCCGATCTATTTGTAGATCTATCCATTTGCGTATGTATCATAATTACTCGGAGCAGGATGCGAATTTGTGAATTACTATTATTACTCTTAGCATATTCTCTTAGCGTCATACATCTTACAAAATGATTTTTAACATTACTACTTATTCTTTATCATTATGATTATTATGATTACTATTATCACCAGTGTTTCCAGTGTTGCCAGTGTCAGTATAATTCTAATACACACACACACACATATATAAATATATGCATACACGTACATAAAGAAATGGAAAATTGAGAGGGAGGAGATACATAATGAATAAAATAAATTAAACGATGAATCGATCTTCTCATTTATGAGAATCGTATTTCACGTTTAATTTATTTCAATAAATGACTCTGGTAATACTGATCATTACCCATTCTTATTACTGTTATTATTATTATTAATATTATTATTAAAAGTACTATATTATACCACTCTGCTATTATTACCACTATACTATTACCACTACTACTACTTACTACTACTACTACTACTACTACTACTATTCTATCACTACTATTACCGCTGCTATTAATTATTATTAACGTTATTACAGCAGGCTAGCTAGGGCATACCAATCTGCACATTTAAGGACGAATGGGGCTTATTTGTCATACTGAGAGAAATAGTATGACCGATCTCATTGACCACTGACGCCCCATACACACTTCCATCCTACAAGAGATAGATATACCCGAGCAGAATGAACAACGAATGAGCAGCGAATGCGAGTAGAACATTAACAGTGTTCAATTCACGATCGTTGTTCGTTCATTTCATTGTTCGTTTGCACGTGCAGTGTACACCTATCTTTACACCCCATCCCTCGATTCCGTCGTACGACGACTCATAGACTCTTTAGCATTCGTGTCCAAGATAATAAATGCGCTTATGTGTATAGACCAGAGATTACACTATATCACACCAAGCCGTCAAAAAACATTTTAAGTAAATTAAGAAACTTATATCTATTTACGATATTATGCTGCTGCGCGTAGGGCGCATGCCTCTAGAGAGTAATCTTCATGCAAAAGTATCAGGGATGGACGAAATGCGCACCCGTTTGTTCTAATTCTAAATTGCAAGGACACTTTACAAAAATTATGAGTATCTTTATCTAAAATATTTCATCTTTCTTTAGCAAAAAAACTTAATCTTTTTTTTTAACATTTCATTAGAAAACGGTGTAGTAAAGTTATAAATACGATTCGATATTTGCCGATTGATTTCAGATACTTAATCTACTGAATTATTTGATTATTCAAATTTGAATTAGATTTATTCGAAAACAGTTTTGAAGTGATCAGCTTTTTTGGATACTAATCTGAATTTTAAGGATAAACAGATTAATTATTTCAAATAATTCGGATGTTATACATTATCTGGATATTTATAGCTCTAGTGCATACAGTTATAATCGTTTATAAAAATTGCAGATATAATTGCAACATTAGAGCAAGAAACACGATCGTTTATTTTATTTACTTATCTCATCGTTCTGCTATTAATTTTAGAAACGACTGATGATTCGATGAATCCATTAATTTTATTTATGGCGATGAATTGCATCGTAATTATCATCGTTCCGTCCATCCCTGCGGTTTACAATTACTTTAAGGCAGCGCGGATACTCGCGGAGCGTGTGCATGTACAGTGTAAAAGATGCGTTGTGGATATGTACAGTGTAGAGGTATAATTGAGCGAGCAAGGTGATAAAAAAACAAGAAAACGCGTATATATTATAGCTATGAATAAGTACATAAGGCACGAACGTGCGCACGTGTCGCGTAACATCTCATTTATTTTCACGAAAGCGCTGTGTTTTCCCCTTCACTCTTTCTTCAGCAGCCAGTCATATAGTATGTAGGTGCAGGATTACATGTTTTCCTGTGCCATTGTTACGCGACGCGTGCGCAGGTCGGCGGGCCTCGTCTATCTTGTAAAATATCTGTGAATATTATGATTTAGTTTCTTCCTATTTGTAGGCTACAAGGTATACAAAAAAATGTTTACGTTAATCATTTAAGGAGAATGTACAGATATCACTATATCCTTTTTTGTTTTGTGTTTTACTGTAGTTATTGATAATTATATGGATATTAACGATAATAATAACTATGATTAAAAAGAAAAAAAACTTAAGCACGGCTCGATTGCGTCATTCTTGAAAAACCCGCTAATATGCGCAATATATTTATTCTGTGTAAGAGAACTCTCGGTGATAATGTATCATTTGTATATTAGTAATTACGTGATCTCCTAATAATCGAAAAAAAAAAGAATGAAACTTGAATAGTATTGATATACGTTGCGACGTCACACCGTTCCATCTCCTAAATTCGTCACAATCTCCAAGATTTATTTCCGCGTCGTCTACATGCGTTCTTCTGAAATGTTAATGCGTTAAAAAAACGTATGTTAAGAACTTTCTTTTTATATTAGATCAGGAGCTGGACTTCTCGCTAGAAAGGTAATATAATAAAACACAAACTATTACCTCGAATATTGACGTATATTTCTTACGGTCTTACATTCGTCATACTTTTTGTTAATTTTGCTAATGAGTTGCGACAAGACAGCGATAGAAAGCTTCAGCTTGTTCTACATAATCCTATCGAACGAGACACGGATTAATATAAATCAGCCGTGCGACAAGAATAGCAAAGTTACCTTAAAAAATCTTGTTTAAAAAAACTGAAGCTCTGTTATAGAAGAATGGATATTACGATTTATATTATAGTTTACAGATTAAACAATTAAAAATATTTTGTCTCCGTTATGAAACTTGGGCACCTCGATCTGATCGAGAGCATCCACTTTCGAAACACTCATCTAAGGATCGCTATTCCATTCAGGCCAATCTTGAATTTTCGTGTAGAGGTGACTTCCAGGACTGGCTGTTGAAATTACCTGTCGTCCACCGAGTACGCGTACATTGTTTCGAAGGATACGTTGGGATTTTCCACATTTGATTAATTGATGTGCAATATCTACCATTGTTTGGTTAACTTCATTTCCTGGAAAAAAAAAAAATTGTCAGAATAGAGTAATTTACAGCAAAAGAATATATATTGATATAATCTCGCTAATGAGCTGATGACAGTAGAACTAGTGATAGACTAGTGATAGACACGTTTTGTACGATTTATTGCGATAATACTTACGCTCAAAATTCCCAATAAAAACTATACCGACAGATTTTTTATTATATCCGTACGTATGGGCTCCTTCGCGTGTCCATCCGCATCCCTCGTATACGTTTCCATCGCCCCCGATCAAGAAACTTTAAAAACGAAAGCAATAATTATCAAGTAAGTGAGTTTCTTCTTTATATGTCTCTGTCATCCAAACAGACATACATATGTAAGTATAAAATAAACGGTATTTTATGAAGCAAAGTACACAAAACATTTACTTATATTTTAATACAATATAATTAATTTATATACAACTAAATAGGCTGCAAATATTTAAACTAAATTATAATAAGCATTTAAAAAAAATAAAGATTTTTTTTATTAAGATTGTTTCGCCGAAATTAGAATAATCAATAAGTTATTGGCATCTAAGAACAAAAAATAAAATGATAAAGGCTACTTGGTTTATTTAGTATGATTCGTATCCCAGTGACTCGTAAAATTTTCATATAATCATAATGAAGATAATGTTATAGCTTACGAATAACCAATGTCATCCCAACCATTTGTGTCCATGTGAAAACTGCGAATGTTGTCGACGGTACTTGTACAACTACTTCGCGTATCACATTCGGGAGTGACTGTGTGATGTATTATCACATAAGGTATCGGTACTATTAAATAATTAACTTCTCCAGGAGGAGTACTACTCCATTGACTTCTTTTGATAATATTTGGACACTTGACTTTTGCTAAAATATTTAATGAAAAATAATTTTAATTAATTAACTATTTAATCATTTTAATTATAATATTAAAGCCACATGATTTTTTTGCTAAAGAAGGGGAATCTTAAAAAAATAATTTAATTTCTTCAGATGTTAATAAAATTTTATTACTTTCCTGTTCACAAGAAAATAGAAAATAATTAATGTAGGAAAAGATTCACTTTTTTATAACTGCAGTATCTTTTACGTTCTTTATATATTTATATGAACTCGGTCTATTTTGGAAAAATAACTATATAATAATTAATAATGAGAAAAAACAAAGAAAGAATCCTTTTCCTTCTTTTGCTGAAATATTTTTCTTTCACGAAGGACAGAATAAGATATGCAGAGGAACGAGATACATTCTGCGCAAATATAATCTCAAAGAATTTCATAAAGTGATAAATAACAATCAGTTAAGAATTTAGAAAGATACTTACTGGCAAAACTGGCAGAGAGTACCAGTAAAAGTACGAAGCAGATTCTCGATGTCATCGTCACAGCAACGATGTGCAACTGTATGAGGAAATGATCGAAAGATTGGAATATAACGCTGACAGTGTCTCGGGTTGTGACCTACGGCGAAGTGATAATGAGAATCAACTGAATAATCATAATTACTCGAATCTTTGCATTTTTTAATTGCAGCAAGGAGGAGCGATCAAAATGGAAAAATTAAAATGTGAATAATTGTTACTTATTATAATAAACGAATAAAATTATAATACTTATTAATAATCATGTTAATAATCTTTATTAAATAAATCTCTCTTTCTTAACTTTAGAAATTAATTATAATTAATAATAATTAAGAGCGATTTTGTCTTGAATTAAAATTTATTATTAAAGAATAAAATATTCGTTCAATCGATATATCGATAGAAGATAACTTGTCTTGCTTTCAAGTGGTCTGTTTTCCAAAGACATAGAAAATGGACTGCGCGATCCGTATCTTAGTAGTGTATCAAATGTGGTCGACAATAATGAGAGAGAGGGGCCGTGTAAAATATGTAAAATATATTAAAATTTTCATTTTTGAAAAAATTTTACATTGGCGATTAATGATCTCCTATTTACTAGTGATCGGTACGTTACTGAAGCTACATTGGACGCGCATGCGTCAGAAATCCGGCCCGTCTAACAACACTGCACTTAGGACACTAGGGCTGCGTTCAAAAACATCACCCGAGTGCCCCCGCGTATCGTATTATCTTTGTTGTTCACTCAGTGTTAAACAAGGATAAGATAATACACGGAGACACCCGGGTGATATTTTTGAACGCAGCCTAGGGATTTGTTCGCGTCGCGTGCTCCAACATGCTCCTACCATAGCTCCTATTCACTTCAACGACCATGTTTGGAATAAGTAGGAACTATGGTAGGAGCATGTTGGAGTATGCGACGCAAACAAACCTTAGGCTGCTCTAGAACTTTCTTTCTCGTTTTCTACAAATATCAAACGTGTATCTATCTCATTTTAAGTTCTAAAAGTGTACACTAGTTCAGCTACAGAAAACAGACCTAAGAATTAAGGTTTGTTCGCGTCGCATGCTCCAACATGTTCCAACATACTCCTACCATAGCTCCTAACTCACTCAAGCGCGTTGGAGTGAGTAGGAGCTATGGTAGGAGCATATTGGAACATATTGGAGCATGCGACGCGAACAAGCCCTTGGTTTTTGCCAGGTTCCAGATTTGCAGTTCGCATGCGTTCCCAAGTATTCGTCATACTGTGATTCTGCCAGTGTTTCTGTATATTTCTCAAAAAGGAAAGAAAATATAATGGAGACCGTTCGATCATGCGGTTGCAAAGGAATACGTTCTTGTTTGGTTTGTGAGACCGAATACGAAATTTCGAAACCGGATCTGAAAAACGAGTTACAGGTAGAATATGGAGCATCCTAACCTATCTGATAAGCGTGACATCGGAATTTCCCACGATTAGTTGTAAAATTTCTTTTTTCAAAAATTGCAGACATAACTACGCAATCACGACAAAATACATGAATTCCAGGGATTCCCCTGATAATTTTACTAATATATATATATTTCAGTTGATGGACTCTTGATTATATGATATGTATTAATTGATGTATTAGTAATTAGTTAGAGATAATTCAATTAGCGCTCATGGGCAAAATATATATAATATTTCTGTCTATATTTTTATTTCTATTTTGCGATCACTTGCTTTATCAAATCCTTATTACAATTCTCATTATATAAAAAAATTTTGTCGAATAAAACAATACATTTACTCCCAAAAAACAAAGTAATTTTTAATAAGTATTGAATCTATAAAATATTTTTTTGCTTACTATCTCTCACGTAAAAATGATCTTTTTCTGAAAAGACATTTATATACCTGAGAATTTCACCAGTTGCTGTCTTTCTGATATCTCCTGTTGTACAAGTCTTGAATCTGCTCTTAGCTGGTTAAAATACTGGTAAAACCAGTTACTTGTTTTGAAAAGATGATACATACATTTTATTCCTTATTTTATCCTGCATTAGTCCACATCTTAAAGAACATAAATTTTTATAACATAGATTGAAATGAAAACAATTCTTTTATAGAAATTCAAAAACTTTTATAGAATTATACAAATTTTCTAAAATGTATGTAATTATTTACTATCTTATTTTTTATTTTATGATATATTTATATACAATTTTACAGAAAAGCAAAAGTTACATTTATTGTCCATATTGTAATAAATTATTATCTGGATGGGATATAGACGAATACAAGAAACATCCTAATCATGATGTAAACTTGATTAATTATCCTGGTGTTTATATCAAGGTATATACATATATATAGTATTTATAATATATTTTATAATTAATTAATATTATATGTACGTATATTATATATACGTATATAAAATATATGTCCCAGCTAGATTTCTTAAAGGAAGATGAGGCTAAAGAGCTCATGAAAGCGCTTGATGATCTTCCTTGGCAACTTTCACAAAGCGGTAGAAGAAAACAGGTATATCTCCAAAATATTTAGATAAATATATATATCTTTACGTATTTTTAATTGAAACACTTTAATTTATAGAATTTTGGACCAAAATGTAATTTCAAAAAGCGAAAATTACAATTAGGATCGTTTAATGGTTTTCCCAAAACAACGCAATTTATACAAAAGAAATTTGAGGAAATACCAATGTTACATGGTTTTAAAACTGTCGAACAGTGTACGCTTGAATATAATCCCGAACGAGGTGCCTCTATAGATCTCCATATGGATGATTGCTGGATTTGGGGAGAACGCATAATAACTGTGAACGTTCTCGGTGATTCTGTTTTAACTATGACTCCTTATCGTGGTCCAATAACGCGATACAATTTAGACTACGTTTCAAGTTATGATTCCATCTTAGAGAAAGACATGTACGATAATACACATTCTTTGGGTGATGATAACATAGTAGTACGATTACCGATGCCTGCTAGATCACTCATGGTTTTATATGGTCCAGCAAGGTATAATGTCCAGCTAAATACTAAAGACAAAAGTGTATTCCATGGTATTAATAATTATTACATATATGGTTTTTATTTCATAGATACAAATGGGAGCATGCTGTGCTTCGACAAGACATCACATCGAGACGTGTCTGCCTCGCATACCGTGAACTGACGCCTCCGTATCTCAAAAATGGACAACATGAAAAGGAAACTTCTGAAATTTTGAGGCAAGCTTCACTCTTCTGGTGATATTAATAAACAAATTTAAATTATTGCATGTGTTTTTATAAAAAAAATTGATGTATCATTTAACATATTAAGTGTAAATTTTAATAAAGTCATTTTATTCTTAGCATACAGTGCATTAAGAATGTACAATAGTAACACATCTCTTACAATAGTCCATATAATATTTTAAAATAATGCTTTTTTTGTCAAATTTGTGAATAGTCTTAATGAGATATTATATTATTTATTTATTATAAAATTTGAATTAAAATGTCAAAATATTTAATCATTAAAATGCAAATTATTTAAAGCAAACAATCAGACTGTTCGTAATATGTATTATATATATATATATTTACTAAGAAAATATATTAAACTATATATTATAAATCAGATAATTATTTGGTAAGTACTATTTTTCTTTTGTGCTGTCCGACGGTCACTCGCTGAGCTTTATCATAAAAATAAACGTAAAAACCAAGAATAAATATTCTCACGAGCTTTTATATTTTGTTAAAAAAATAGGATCTGTCTATTTCTCTCTTCATTACTCAATTTTTGCAAATTTCTTTGTGAACCCGGGAAACATAAAAAAATACGGTTTTATACAATTACTCGATTTTTACATTAAAATATTAACATTTCTGATCGCCTTTCAGTGGATAGTCTGGCGCCATATACACTATGGGAAACGTAGTTATGGGATCCGATTTTCCCAATGGTTCGTAACCGTTCACTAGATTCTCTCGTAATTCCCAACGACGCCTCTCCCTTTCTGTCTTTTGACGCCTGATAGCTCGGCCAAGCATACACGCGAACATGATTCCCGTTAGCTGGAAAGAGAGAAACAATTATGTAGATTTATAATTTATTTAGATAAATTACTCTTCAGAATTGTAGTTTATCCTGTACTTCTTGATAGTATCACCGATTCTCAATTTGACGCGTGAGAAATGGGATTAGAATTACGTTGGAAAAAAAAAGCTTAATCTAACCTGAATAAGGGCGATCGCTACAGCTCCTGTGCCGATGTATAGTGCACTACGGTGAACAATAATAGAAAGGCGGCCGATACAGCCCTCCTGATATTTCCCATAACAGCGATCTGAAAGCTCATCCACTAGATATGCACAACAAGAGTCAGGTACATCTATATGCGTATTATTAAATGATACGTAGTTCCAATCCAGATAGCTATCATATCCGCAACAACGTAACTGTAAGATAAGAAAAAATAAGTTTTATTTTTTAATTATTTTTAAAAATACTTCTTTCCTTGTAAATAATAGTGATTATATTTCAAAAACGTTATTGTATGTTATTTCCAATTCAATGTTATATAGGGTGTGATCAATGTCAATTATGTGAATGAATTTTTTATATTTTTTATCCATAGAACAATCAATTATCTTACTCTAGATTGCATAAAATCAATTGCGAATTTGGCTTCTTCGTTCTTTTCATATTGATGCATCGTCATCTTGATATTCTGAGCCAAAAGATCCTTGATACCGTCTTGCAAGGCATATGCAGCAACAGCGGCGGCTAGTTCCATTATTAAAACAACAGACAGCAAGAATGCAAACTAGAAGTACATAAATGTAATACGCATATCGGAAAGAGAATATTTGAAACAGAAATACGATATTCGGTTCTCGCTTACCACAAGGACCATACAGGTGCTTTCCCTGAGTGCGCCGCAACATCCCATAAAAGCAATTATGAAGACGAGTATTCCAACCACGATTAAGACGGTGGCTGGTGAAAAATAGCTTGTATCCAGAAAATGCGAAAAGTTCTCATAAACAGCGTAGATCGTCGTACCGACCGATATTATCATAACCCCCGTCAACTGTAATAAAATGATAATTTTATTATATATTATGTTAATCGCAATTAACTTTATTTTCATCATATAATTAATTTTTACGAAAAATCTTCACTTCTCTGATATATTAAACAAATGTTAATAAACTACAGAATGCTGAAGACATGTACAAACTTCATCTAAGGATTATTCGGCTGAAATTTAAAGTCGATGAAGTCTTTTCTAGCAAAAATATGATTAGATATTTTTTTACATTTTAATTAGACAAAACGCACCATTTAGAAACTAAGTATGTTAATTAAGGGTTATATTAGAATCTCTTTAAATAACATTAGGTTTGAATTAAAAGTATTTGTTATTTATGTTACCATCTATGAAGATTTAATTTTCGTTATTTCTTTTAATTTCTTAAAAAAAATTTTAATATATTCATGTTTATAAGAATCTTTTCCTCATTTCTATATTTTTATTGTAATGTTCCGTAATTTTTAGCTATATTTGTATTATTATTTCTGCTTATAGCGTCAATTTAAATATGCAGCATCGCATATAATCTGTGAACATGTAATATACTGAACATAATATATGTTCATTGTATATAGAGTATAAGGCTTCGATCATTTCCATAATACGCGGTTTCTCTGACATTAGTTATATAATACATGCGTCCTCGCTTAAATGTAAACTTTTTAGATTGGAAAGAGGGTACGACACTTTTGTGAAGCATATCACTATGTACACATACGTTGCCATCGGTCTCTATTTGTTCTACAAAGCGGGCCGTGTAATTTCCTACGATAAGCCGCTCTCTCGTGATCCTTACACGTCTATGTGTGAGTCTACCTTAATTCTCACTGAAGAGCCGAAATAAAATATGAAATTGTTCCAAATATATTTCCACAGGTTATCGAGAAATATATGACGTATTAAGGTAAGAGCAGCTTTTACAACTTAATTTTAAAGTAAATACTTCGGATAAGATATCGATGACCTGTTAATAAACGATATGTCGTGAAATTTATTTTTGTTCCTGTCAGCTACAATACAATGAAATCAAAGATCGAACAAGATCTTTACGATCAACCGTTACCAGCTTGCGAGATTAAAAAAATTTTTCGTTCCATACTCATGTGCTAAGGTATTTCTATTGTGTTAAAATCATATTATATGTCACAACATCATTGATTATGAAGATAAATGTATCTATACCGATAAGAGCGAGCACAAAATCCCGTAGGTACAACACAGGATATTTGAAATATGTTTTCCTGGTACTGCGTTTTATCTGTGAGAACAACAGAACGGTTTTTATATCATCAATTCGAGATTTCGGATGTCAAGGTCGAGGCAAGGTCTTACTGGAAAATTACTGCCTTTTCCAAGCATGTTTTCCTTCACGTACAGTAAGAGACTAGAAATTTACATAAGTCTGATAAATTATAAGTGTTTCTATATGCCAGGCAATACTTGCTTCTGACGAGCATCAAACCGATTTATTTACGATAATCTTCAGCCGCTATCTATTATCTGTACATTTTGCGATAACTAACGTCGTGAAAGAAACATTGTTCTTATTACGACTTCTTTGTTTAATTGAGAGACAGATATATACAGTGCTAATCGGGTTGTGCAGCTGTACAGGTTCGTCCATCCCTAATAATTCAGCAGTGCATAGCCTTGTCTATGTAATATCGATCGCAGTTCAAAAGTGCTTCTCTCTAACAATGAAACTCGAACTTCATGGCCCACATCGCTTTCTCTGTAAGCCGACAGAACAAAGGACATAATAAACATCGATAGGGGACACTCGCCCTTCGTATCATTCACGTTATTTTATTTCAACACGGCATCGCGTTTTATAAATATTTTTTTCATTTCCACGCATGGCATAAATAATCTGATACGTCATCTCCAGTCTGTTTAATACCGAAAATCGGTTTAATCGATATCGATATGGGGCTCGAGTTATTATAATTTCGAATAATCTAAATGTTATTAAACTGCAATCTTGTAATTATATTAATATTGATTTTTAAATTTTGCTGCAAGGACGTTTGCCACGTATATGCGAAAAATGTATATCTGAGTCATTCTTTACCCTGACATTAGTCGTTATTTACGTTATCGGAATGTCTGCTAGCAGACATCGATGACAAAATCGCGAAGAAAATTGATAACCGTGTGATAATATAATACCGATAAACGATTTGTGTTTTCTATAAATTTATAAGTATATTATATATATATATATTTATATATATATAATGTATTATAAAATAAATAGATAAAAAATTTTAAGGATAAAAGACATCCTTCATGGATAAATTTCGTCTTAATTTGACAAGTGTGTGTACGACTCTTCGATGATTGTCAAAAACAGATGTTAGCAATTGAAAGCATTTTTCACCGCAGAAATCGAAGCCTCCTGTTTTACATTCAGACATCATCTATACGGTCGGTATATAATATAGCAATCGATAATTATGGATGAGTGTACGGCACGGTCTAGGTGAGGATACTTGGCCTACGACAACGCGCAATTGCACCTAATCGGCTTGTGTTGCAATAATACATTTTCCAATGTGAGCCTCGATAACGTGCGATTCGTCGCAGAGTCATTAGCGATGACTTTGTGCGTACTTGAAGAGTCATAATGCACGGACGTTATCTCGTACTCCAACAATATACATATCTTTCGACGGACTCACGCGACAACGCCTTGCCTCGTGACGAGTCCTCGATCTCATTTCGCGTCTCTTTCGAGATTCTCAACGGTTCCTCGAGTCACGAAAAGTCAGGTATTTTTTTTTTACTTTTTCTCTGTGTTTTGATCGAACGCGTAGAGTCGAGACGGAGAGCGTGGTCGACGGGCGAGGCCTCGTCGCGCGATTGTTCCTCGATTAACGCGAGAATGCATCGCGGAGTGAGATGAATTTGGCGAAGAGATTGTATTCGGTGAGACGATAAACGCCGTTCGCATTATAGTACAGACCACGAAGAGAGAGTTGACCGCGCACAGTAGATACTTGATGCAGCGGAGGCCGACGTCTAGGTGCGTGGCCGCCATTTTGCCTCGCGTTGGCTGCTCCGGGCGCAGATGCACAGCGAGCGGTATCGCGCACCTTCAACACTTCCAGTTAACACACCGATTGCCAATGCCAACGTTGAAGCGTCGGTCTGCAGCGTTATCTACTGGCCGATAACGAGCCGCGAAAACGCACGATCGCGCACGGCAACGGCTTGTGCGATACCAATGCTAGCGTTGGGGTTTTTGTTTAGAACACGGAGTCTGACGAAGAGAAGAAAGAGAGACAGAGAGAGAGAGAAAGAGAGAGAGAGAGAGAGAGAGAGAGGAGGAGGAGGAGGAGGAGGAGGAGGAAGAGTGGGAGGAAATAAGGAAGTCCTCGCGGTAACGTGAAGAAAAACATGACAAAGCGATATACCAGTAGCATTATGACACACCAATGAATATTCGAATATTTTCGGTATATATAGGTCGTATATATTCATAACCCAGCGTAAACACGAAAGTTACATGTAACGTACCTATTAGTTGTGATTGCCCATTTAACAATATAACACAAGCTACACGTAACTTTGCATTTGCTGGGAATATGTACATTATATATATATGTATTATTTTTAACAGAATCTGCACGGAATGTTTTAATTAGACATCGAGCCACGTTTAAGCTCATCCACTTAAAAAAAATATATATATAATATATACTTATATATCTCTTAGTATATACATAAACATAAATGATATATATGTATATATTATATATATAACATATAACATTTAATGCGATCGAATATATCAGATCAAAATTTTAAAGTTAATGGGCGTGGAAAGAAACATTCGTTCTCGTGTTCGTTGCTACGTTTACACGTAGGCAAAACAACGCGATATAAAATGACTCATGTGACAATTAAGTTAATTTCATGTCTCTCGATATGCATGCGTGTGCGTGAATGGCACGTGTGTAGTTTGATGCGCGTGCATGATGACTGTCGGACACGCGCATGCTCCAATTTTTTTTGTTTGAAATTCACATGTTACAAACACTTATGAGAAATAAATTTATTGCAGATAAAAAGAGATTTACCTATAAAATATGTGATTGCTTATTCTGTGTAATTCATTCCTGTGTAAATAGAAGAGAATGAAATAACGAATTGAATTAACGACGCATTTTAATCAAAAATGATAAACGTGTTGTTGCAAAAACATTTAGCGATGTAAAGGTTTTATTAAAAATACACACGCTTCTTTATAACGCGATGCGAAATATCGCAAGTAGCAAAAATAATTTACCATCCTTCTATACAAGGACAAATAATGTGTTCTCGTACAATATGTCAGATCAATTATCAAATGCACGCAGTTTCGCATCCTAATGGCAATCCTGTTCGGCTGTCATCCATATGAAGGCTGCTTCCGGTGCGTTTGATGTTCGCATGGCACTCTACATAGTCTGGTAACAATTCTTGATCGATTTAGCCAAGTAGGACGACAAGAGGATTCCTATCAGCTGCAACGTTAATTATTCCATATTCTTGTATTAATAAAACGTGAATATTACTCGTTTATCGGACTTCGAAACGCTATGAGGTAAAGTTTGAAAAATCTAACATAATGATGCTGATGAAGATACCTGAATTATACCAAGACCTATTCCAACACCTGCTATCTTAGCTGCGTATGTCTCTGCAAATTTCGCGAAGGCGTCTATGCAGCCATCCTCATGCAGACTCTTCGATGATAGGGTGCAGTTCTTCGTGCTGATAGCACCTATCGTATCATCACAGCACGACACCGGAATACCTGGCAGTTTCGTTGTATTCGCCAACCAGTCGGTGGCATTGATCGTGCCACAACAATGGAACTGTAAAAGAAAAACGAATTTCACGGTTAACATGCTGAAACACGTATTTACATCATGCAAATATAGAGATGTAGAGTCGTAATGATTTCGTCCATATTTAATATTTCACGGTATGCTCGTATATATATATATATATACATACATATACATAATATACACGTCCCTAGTATATTGATATATATTATATAATAGTTAAATTATATACAATTGACAATATATATTATACAAATATAATATAATTGTTTACACTAAAAAAAATTACTGACCTTAATACATATTTTTTTAAATAGTACTAAGTAAATATTTACTTACATAATAAATATTTATTCAATAAAAAGATAATGGTAATTGAATTAAATTAATGATCAAATAAATATATGTTTACATTTAGTAAATATTATTTAGACCTATTTAAACAAATATTTATTAAAATTTAGTATTTTTTTCTAGTGTATATATTATACATACAATATACATATATATAATATATAATAAATATATATAATTTATGTACATAATATACAATATATACACACACATACATTTTTTGTAGATCGTTAAGGATGGTCAAGGAAGCTGGGGAAAAATCGATGTACGCTACCCCTTCGCGTGGCGTGCACGCCAGCTACCACATACACATATATTATACACGCGAGGAATTAGAGCCGGGCACTGAAATTATCCCTGTCGCCTGTCGTCCGCGATATCCTCGCTACGACCGGGTCGCTCCCACGACTGGGAAAGACACGATGCGAAGCGCGAGAAACTTCGCGAGAAATAAAAGCCATCGTCGAAAAAAGGGAAAAAAACAAAACCATACGTGGTCCGCTATTTCGAAGGTATAACATAGTCGCACGTATAAATACGATTATTGTATATAATTATGCATTACGTCTTTTTGTAGATTGTCCCAGACGAATGTGATCTCGTCGCTCTTGTTGTATTGGGGCATCGTGTCGAGCATCTTTTGCTGAGCGATCGACGCAACCTGTGCTCTCATCACATATCCCATTATGCCGCCTATGATCTCCAGCAAGAAAATTACAGCCAGAAGTGTGCAAAACTGTAAATGATCATCAGAGACTATTGTTAAAATAATTCAAATTATATTTCTACGATTTACGTTATTTTCCGTATGCTGAGAAAAATGTTTTGTTAGATTAACTGCAATTCTAGTAAAAAAGAGAATATATAAATCAGAATTTTTTTGTTAAATCTATTAATCTGATGGATACAAAAATCTTCTGGTTCGTCTATTTTCAACCAGACATTTTTCTCAGTATATATAATTGTTACGGATATTCCAGCAGAAATCAGTTTTGGTATCAGATGTTGACTGGAAAATATTATCCTGATATATTTTTTCAAATATATCTAGGAAATATATCTAGGAATCGAATCTCGAAGCTTTTGAAATATTTATTATATATAGTCTCACCGTGCGTCAATTTTTTAAAGCAACACCGGAAGCGTGTCCGCCCTCGTCTGCGTGCGAGGGAGAGTAATTTTCCCGGAATAAAGGCCGACGGAGGTGGAACGGGGAGGACACACACATGTCAATTACATACTTCGTGCACAAAACATATGATCCATTACGTTATGGAAACGAGGGGGAGACGATATCGTAGATGGACAGACTTGGCCGAGCTTTTTGTTTCATATACGTTTCGTATGCAATAGGTCGTTCAAAAACCCGACGCTCTATATCGAGATCCTAATCTCGAATTAATTCGAATAGAGCAACGTTGAAAATAACATCGTGAATGTTCTCGAGTCACGATAATGATTCCGCTTTATTACTTGCAGTCGCGATTGATCCTCGTCGGTGGCGCGCTCTCAATCCGAAGCGTAATCACCTGGTGAGCTTCGCCAAGTACGGTCGATCGAATGAGACGTAAATCATTTACGATTGTGAAACAGATGGTTCCTCACGATTGTAAAAGGCGTATATGTAGGAAAGACAAGGCGCAATGCGTTTGCGATAGATTCTCAGACAGCCAAGTTCATCGAAAATAGATTCTGCAAAATTTATGAAAAATAAGAAGACTACTCAGAAAGAATGATTTTATTGAAATTTTGATGACTACAGATTTGAAAATAATTTTATTGAACCATTAAAATAATTATGTAGGAAACTCAAGCATGTCAAGCAATGCTGCAAGAAGTTTTGACATTCTGGCAACCAGCTTGAGCATTCTACATAATTATTTTAATAGCCCAATAAAATTATTTTCAGATCTACCTCTAACTTTTTAGATGTAGATCCAGCAAAAATGTTCTTTTTATATAAAAATTTGATACAGGATCTGGTATGTATAATACTGTTGGCAGAACGCTAACACGAATATTGTCATAAAATATAGCAGATTAATAACAGAAATTCAATAGTTTGTCATACTTATATAATTTAACGCAGATTAGCGACATATTAGAAGCAGCAGAATCTGCGTCTGACAGATTCTATTTGGTTTCTGTCAATCAACTGTCAGATTATATCTACAGGCTTTATCGGTAAAACTCAAGCTTAATGCAAACAGAGTTAAGTAATGCCAATTTGCTAACAATTTCACGAATTTACTTCCAGTTCGCCGGTATAGATAGTTTGATTATTGGATAACTTATCATTATTACTATTGATTTAGCCAGTTAATTATTATTTGCTAATTAAACGTCAAAATACATACTATAACTCTGTCGCAGTAATAAACGGTCTAATTGGATATGACGCAACGATGAGACATCTTTATTGAAAAAGATTCTGAAGTATGTATATATGCGATTTTTAAATCATACAGCAATAAATTAATAAGTTAATAAGAGTGTAATTTAATGCGTGGACAAAAAGTGTATCATTTACTTATTTATGAAGAAAAAGCTTAATCGAAGTGTGTATATTTAATAAGAAAAAAATGTTGTTCAATTTATGAGTACATATTCGTCTTACCGTTATAACCATGCAATAACTTTCGCGAACAGCTCCGCAGCATCCGAAAAAAGCGATGATAAAAATTATGGTGCCCACGGCTACGAGAAGAGAAGGTACGGAGAAGAACCTGTTGTCAAGGAAATGTTGATACTGATGATATACTCCATGGATGACCGCTCCGATGGATAGCAACACTATTCCTGTAATCTAAACATAATTCATCGATTCACGATATATTTCCATGGATAAAAGGATCGAAAATGCAATTCGCAATGGAGTCAATCATATTAAAAAAATCGACAATTACATAATGATTTCGTGACGATAAGCAATATTGCGTAAACGATGTATTTATCTAATTAATGTGGTATGTAATTCGCATACTAATGTATTTGAAAAAGATACGCAAGTTTATTTTTTTGATGACGTCAACATTTTCGAGTTTCATGTTCACGTATAGTGTATCATACAAATAACAGCGAGTTGCCAACAGCTGCGGTGTCCGAGCGGTTAAGGAGATGGACTTGAAATCCATTGGGTTCTACCCGCACAGGTTCGAATCCTGTCCGCAGCGAATTTTTTTTTTCTTTATCTTAAATAATATCAGTATCTAATCATTTATACGTAAATACACTTATACATTTCAACGTAAAAACGTAAAAATGACACATTTTAATTAATTGCATTAACAACACTAGCAATTTAATAATTCTATATTAATAATTCTACAATACTCTTGTAATATTACATAATCAATAAAATCAACGATTACGCCAAAACTATAATCATGAAGAAATATTAATTCGAATAAAACTTCATAAAAGATTAACATGCGACGTAAGAACGTTAATAATGGAGGGGGCTATTTATAAAACCGATAACGCAGCGTGTTTTTCGATTATTCTGAATAAAAACATTGAACCGTCTATCTTATTCGAACTATGGTTTCTACGCATATGCATAAACGATATATTTCCAGATACGAACTTACTGTTAATAATAAAATTATTTTAATCATGATACTTATAACTATTAAACATGAACGGTTTTATTAATTCATAAGTTAGTGGATTACCGAAATTAAAAAATGTTTTAATTCTTGCCTCATTCTATAGCATATAAAATTAATATTCGTTATAGTGCAATCGCTATCCGTATTGATCGCACCAAAGGTCTTTCAATTTTGATGTTACGCTGTATGCGAAAAAATAGAGAATATTGCGTGGTAGGAATTCCCTCTCGGATATATTTCTTAGGTTTGTCAAATTTGTTTGTATGATTTCGCTCATAATGATTCATCTACTTATGGTCTTCTCCAATGTATATGGTAGTCCAGTTGATGAATAATTAACCAATGAATGTCTAATTAATTTTATTTTACATTAAGCTTTCAACACACACATGTACTTTTAAATGGAATCTATATTTAGACACAAAAAAATTGTATATATGAGATGTTCTTTGTTTTCGTCAAGAACTTGCGATTAAAGATTTAATTTTAGTGAGTCTACGAAAAAAAAACTAAATTTAATAAATTATTTATATGAGTGTCAACTAAATATTTATTTATTAAATATAAAGATTTATTTGGCAAAAAACATTAATTTGATTTAACAATAATTTCTTTTTACTAAGTAAATATTTATTTATTGTAAGTAAATGTTTGGAATTATTTAAATAAATATTTATTTACACATGTAGAATAATTTTTTCTCAGTGTATATACATATATAATCGATGTAAAAAATATCAATATAATTAATACATAATATAAAATCATTAACATATATAACATAATATATTAATGGTTATATATTATATTAAATAACGAAAGGAAAATTTTATGACAATTGCGCTGTTATATACTGACATTAAACTGTGATCCGATATACTGAAAATTTATAGTATATATATATATATATATATAAGGTGAACTATAGATTTTCAGTATACTGACAGTGTATATCAGAATACAGCTATTGTTACATTGTTTGTAAATTGATATATTCCTAAATCTCAATTACATCCAATTTCCACAAAAACCGATTACTTAGTGCATTCTCTAAACGTATTCTATGACCGTATCACAACGATCTTCAGTAATCACATTGTAAATGTTGCTTTTCCACGTAGATTACAAAAACTTGATTTCCTGTAAATTTCAATTGACAATATATTTATCTATCAAATACTAAGCTCAAATATTCGTTCAAGATAACTCAACAAACGTGACGCGCAAAATGTTAAAAGTTTTTAACACAATAAAATATATGTATACTCCACAAATGTACCGTACACTCCATATTTGTTAATGACATTCGAATTAAATTCCACGTTTCAATTTCACGTTTCTGCTATTTCAATAAATATTTGCAGAAAAGTGATTTGAAAACGCGTTGCGCATATCATTTAAAACTGGATTCTACTGAACCACGTGAACAATGTGCGCACTTCAATGTAATTATTGAATTTTGACGTCCACGAGATGCATATAGAAATGAACAGTAAATAACTAACTAAAATAGTTATGATAAAATAATTAGTTAATTAAATTAATTAAAACATTTTATTGTGTAAATGTGCGTTTATTAAAATTTTAGATAAAATAAAATAGAGTTAAAATTTAACTAAATTAATTTTTGACTGAAATACGACTTTGTCCCTTTTTATACAGTCTTCAAAAAGAATAGATAAGAAGCTTTTAGTTAACTTATTTGCGACTATTTCAGTCCGTTTCAATTAGCTCGCGTGATAAAAATAAAATTTCGATGAAATATTTAATATTCACTTTACAGCTTTACAAATGCATTTTTGTATAAGTTATGCTTTTATCAGGCTTCAATTAGGTACCAGATGAACTCCAGCCTGTCGATCGTAATCGCAATTTCCAACGATCGCGCTGAGGCTGCGTCGATACGACGATTCGATAGATCGCAGCGCAATCAATCGCGCGGGTCCATGCCAGATGCCAGCTCATCGTTCCAGAAGGAACGCGAGTCGCGAGACAGCTGATCGTCGACCGCCTACTTACCACAAAGAACAGGTTGAAAATGAACAT